CCTTAAACTTTCAATTAAAATTGCCATTTCTAAGAACTTATTGATGATGTTAAGTAAGGACTTGTCCTACAAACAACTCTATGCCCATAAATTCAATAACTTAGATAAAACAGACCAATTCTTAAAATACATGAGCTACCTAAACTCTCACACACATAAAACCCATATAGTTCTACAACTATTAAAGAAATTGAATTTGTAGTTAAAAACTTTTCAATAAAGAAAACTCCCTGCTCATATATTTTACGGCAAAATTCTAGAAAACATTTAAGGAAGAAACAATCACAATTCTATACAATCTTTTTCTGAATATATAAGAGAAGGAAATACTTCCCATGAATCTTATGAAGCTAGCATTACCCTAATACCAAAACCAGAACACAACATTATAATGAAAGAAAAATAAGGACCAGGCTGGGTGCAGTGGGTCCTGCCTATAATTCTGGCACTTTGGGAGTCTGAGGCAGGCAGATCACTGGAGGCCCATAGCTTGAGACCAGTCTGGCCAACATGATGAAACTTTTTCCCTACTAAAAATACAAAATTTAGCTGAGTTTGGAGATGCACGCCTATAGTCCCAGCTCCTTGGGAGGCTGAAGCAGAATTGCTTGAGCCCAGGAGGTGGAGGTTGTACTGAGCTGAGATCATACCACGGCACTCCAGCCTGGGTGACAGAGTGAGACACTTTTTCCAAAAAAAAAGAAAAAGAAAGATCAATATGCCCCACAAACATAGACACAAAATATTCAACAAATTATTAGAAAATTGGGTCTAGAAATTAAAAAAAAAAAAAGGAAAGTACAGAATAATTAAGTGGAACTTATCCCAATTACGCAAGGTAGGTTCAATTTGTGAAAACTCAACCAATGTAATTTACCAATTAGCAAACTAAAGAAAAAAAACATGATTATCTCAATAGCATTTGACAAATTCAAATCTCTTTCCAATAAAAACTCTCAGCAGACTAGGAATGAAATGAAATTGCCTGGATATAATACTGTAAAGGACAACTATAAAAACCTATGATTAATATTATACTTAATGGAAAGAAGATAAGGACATCCTTCTTTCACCACTGCTATTCAATAATATAAAAGTCTTAGCCAAGAAAAATAAAGTCATTCAGATTGAAAGGGAAAAAGAATTCTACTTGCAGATGACAGAATTATTTATGTAAAAAAATCCCAAATAATACACACACCAAAAAGCCCTAAAGCTAGTCCTAAAACTAGTAAGGGAGTTTAGCAAGGTCATAGGATAAGAGATCAAAATACAAAAGTCAATTATATTTCTATATACTAGCAACAAACAATGGATTTGAAATTTTGAAAAAACTACTAACAAAAAATGGAAAACTTAGATACAAATCTAACAAAAATATATATTATCTATGTGTTGAAAACTATGAGACACTAAAGAAATAAAAGAAGGCCTTAGATATGTGGAGATATACATTATCTTGGTTTGGATGAAAAATTATATGGTCATATTATCTGCACAGGTAATAAAAGACACTTTTTTTGTGTACTCCCAGTGCTTATTTATACAAATATAAAATTCTTATCACCCCTGTTGTCACACAATGCCTTACTTGTTCAACTTAAAATATATCCTATAGAATTTTCCATGTAAGTACATAGAAAATTTCCTCATTAAAAAAAATTTTTTGGCTGGGGACAGTGGATCACGCCTGTAATCCCAGCACTTTGGGAGGCTGAGGCAAGCAGATCACGAGATCAAGAGATTGAGACCATCCTGGCCGACATGATGAAACCCCAACTCTACTAAAAATACAAAAATTAGCCGGGTGTGGTGGCATGTGCCTGTAGTCCCAGCCACTCTGGAGGCTGAGGCAGGAGAATCACTTGACAGTAGGAGATGGGTCTAACCAAAATGCACAGGCTTTGAAGCGAGATAGAGCCAACTTCAAATAACCATTCTGTCACTTATTTGTTGTATGGCCCTTAGGCAAGTTACTTAACTTCCCCTAGTGTCAGTTACCACATCAATAAAATGAGAATATAGCTACTACACCACAGGTCACAGTCAGAATCATTTGTGGTGATATGAGAAAGTACAAAAGAGTACTTTAATCTTAGGAAATGTAAAATAGAGCTGCAGCAATTCATCACAGCCTTGACCGTATTCATAACTTTGGTTAATGGAACAAAGTGAGAATCTACCTGACTATAAAATTTAGTTGGATCTAAGTGACAGAGACCTTGTAAGAAACACTGTTGCCCTTGGTCACTTCAATTAACAAAATTATCTTCTCAGCCTTGGGCTGATTCACCAGTTCATTAAAAAGCCAGAGGCTCTTTCAAATCCTAATCTCTATACCCAGAGCCAATACTTCACCAAAATATCTGGATTGCCCACATAAGGTGAGGAACCAGTTTGTGAATTTGCCATTCTTATTTTTTTATTGTACCAACAAGATATGAAAATTTGGGTTGTTTTGTTTGCATTTCTTTGTCCACGGAATACATTTCCAACTCCAAGGGTAAGTAGTTGCAGGTGACTTTACTGCCATTTGTGTAACTACAATGGCAAATCATGAGCAGCATATATTCTATTTGTAGGCCTTTTCCTGGCCTACAAGTAGAGAATGAAACACAGCCTCTACTGGTAGAGGCATTCAAAATTTATTCATTCACTCACCTAACAAAAACTTTCCAAACCCCTACTGTGTGTCAGGGATTGCACTTGGTGTTAAAAATAAAAAATTCCTGTCTTTAAGTAGCTTACAGTTCAACTAAGGGGAAATAAGATACATTGACAGTTACAAAGTGCTTTGGGAGGGAACAGAATGGCTTCACAGAAGAGGCTAAGTTTCTGTTGAGCTCGGGAGACTGAAGAGAGGAAGGCCATGCCTGGCAGAGTGAGCATAACTTGCACACACAAAGACATTCTACGCTAGCAGCCTTGAATTCAGAGTTCCACTGGGGCACTAGGTGCAGAGGAGGCTGGAAGATTTGGCTGAAGCTATCAGCAGTTTGGTCTTCATTCTGCTCAATGGAAAACTTTAAGTTCAATGGAGGAACCATTAAATGCTTTAAAGCAATGGCGGGAGATATACAGATTTACTTTTTTTTGAAAGATCTTCTGGTAGTCCTATGAAAGATACTTTGGGGAAGGAGTAATAGAAAAACCAGTTAGGAGGGTTTTGTAGTGAAAGAGAATGTGGTCCTCATGGAATATCTAGGATTTCCATGAATGAAATTATCTTGTTTGGTAAATGGAGTAATGTCTGAGAACTATTTATCAACTGAAAATCAAGAGGGAAATCAGCAAGAAAATCGATGTGTTCAGCATTATTTCAGTCAAAATCCAAGCAGAATTTTTGTAGGTATCAACAAGTTGATTCAAAAACTTTGGGAGAAAGGTAAAGCAACTAGAAAGTTAAAGAAACAGCCAAGCAAATTTGAAAAAGGACAAAGTTGGAATATTGTACTCCCCGATTTCAAGTTTATTAAGACTTCAGATCCTTTTCTCTAACTTTGTAATTGCTTAGGTTCTTATACGGTTTGCCAGATGGTGGATAGGGGAAAGCAAATGAAAAACACTAATCAATTTGGTTCCTTGACTGCGGCTTAATATGGAGATTTGAGGAGGTGAAAACTCTCATTACACAGAAGCACGTGGATATCTTTGGAATGCATGCACGTATCACTCGTCTCTTAATTCCACTATAAATCAGAGGTCATTGTAAGATAAAACATACATAATGAAAATAATTGGCTCTTCGCACGGACGCCTTAAAATACATTTCCATTTCCTAGTAAAAGTTTTATTTGGTCCCTTCCTCTGAATAATCTATGCAGTACTCATTTCTGCTTCATCGGATCGGCTCAAAGCTTGATGAATATGGCTGTGGTTTGATGGGCAGTCTCTCTCCATCTCACGTTGAGGCTCCGCTATGGAAAGAATTAGAATAGCAAGATCAATAGCCAGGCTAAATAAATGAGATCTCATCTCAGATCTGATTGCGTTTGGGAGGGCTGAAGTGATTCTTGGCTGCACCCTCAGGTAGAAGAGAGAATTGCATTTTAATTGCCCTGGCAGGGATAACAGGTGTTCTGTCCAGCTACCCAAAGGCAAAGCCGCGTCGGCTTTGCGCTTTAGAAGGCTTTCCCTTAAGCGAGAATTCACATTCTTAAAGCAAAACAACTCAGAAGCGCCGGCATGGTGATGCACGCCTGTAATTCTAGCAGTTTGGGAGGCCGAGGTGGGCGGATCGCTTGAACAGGGGTTCGAGACCAGCCTGAGCAATATGGTGATAACCACGTCTCCACGAAAAAATACAAAAATTAGCCAGGCGTAGTGATGCGCCTCTGTGGCCCAGCTACTGGGGAGGCTGAGATGGGAGGATTGCTTGAGTTCGGGAGGTCGAGGCGGCAGTGAGGCAAGATACACCACTGTAATCTAGCCTGGGCGACAAAGCAAGACGCTATCTCAAAAAAGCAAACCACCATAAAAAGGAAGGGTAGTTCATGCTCTTTTTCGTTTCATAGCTACAGATTTACAAATACCTATTAACTTGTTGACAGGGCAAGAAATAATTTATGCTGAAGAGACAAAATACCAGAAAGCAGATTTCTGTGTTTTACTCTCCATGTGGCCATCACGGACGAGGACGAAGAAAGACTTGGTTTCTCCTGTAACGAGAATGTTTAAGCTCTGAATTTTTAACGAATTTTTATGCTTGTTAACAAAATCTGTTATTTTCCTATCGTTCGGAAATGATCCTTTAGTCTTCCTACAGGTAAAAACGCTGTCTAGGCTTGGACTCTGCCTCAGGGTATGTGTTTACCAAGATTAGCCGAATACCGCAAGTTCACCAGGCAGAGATAAGTCACAGTGAGGCGTATAGCACAGGACCTCCCGGAGGGCAGCGGCCGGAAACTACATATCCCGGCGTGCTCAGCTTGCGAGCACAATGGAGCCTGTCGTCATTCGGTTAACGGCGCTGCGCGTTCCCTGCGCGCCGCCGAATGCCGGCCTGGGCGCAGCCCAGGGCAGAGGGCACTCCTGAGCTGGGAAAACTGCAGTTCCCGGCATGCTCTGCTACGGGTGCGCCTGCGTATGGGAGCTACTGCGCCTAGGAGCGGGTTGGTTTAAAACGCTGTGTTAGTTCCATTGAAACCCGCCAGCCTGCAGCAGTACGGAGCCTCAGGTGCACAGATGGACTGTGGGGTGAGGCTACCCGGCCCTGGGCGGGTGAGCGGCTGTCGGAGACCCGTGGGGGAGAGGCTTCGGCTTAGATAGTGACAGGCACGGCTCCCTGCCCCCCTCTCCCTGTCCTGACAGAGTCCAGTTTCGTTCCTTGGACCTCAGGGCCCTGACCTAAGGAGCTTCGGCGTTGGATGCAGGTGAAAGCCATTTAGGAGCGAAGTTTGCATTGGCCTGGCTCCAGCTGAGGGGTGGAAGATAGCCACCGAGGCCTCCAGATAAGCCCAATACCACCTTTATGTTAAGTTGGAGGATAATACTTCCTGAGAAGGCTATTTCGGCGTTAATGTTTGATTTTTTTGTCACTCGTTATCCTCCCTGGCTTGCTTACCAGAATATAGGTGTCAGGAATTTGCACTTGTTGTTTACGGTTTCCGCAGTACCTGGCGCTTTTGCTAGAACGGAATAGACATTCGTTAAATTCCTGTCGAAGTAGCTCGTTTATTTACCACCCATAATTTCCCAGGCACTGTGCTAGGCTCTAAAGGTAGAAAAGTGTCTATCTTGGCCCCACTTTGGAGAAGTTTGTACTAATCCGTCGTAAACGCCCCACACACGTGCTTCTAATTTGTTAATCTTGGCGTGCGCAGGAGTAGGTCTTTGAATCCTTTCTGTTCTCTGTTATCCCGCCTTAAGGTTTTATTGAGCTCTTAAGAATTTATATCTCCAGTCCACACCTCATCCCCAAACTTCAGATCCACAAATTCAGTCGTGTATTGGGTATCTTTCATGTTTTAAATTTGACAATTTATAAACTACTCTCTATCTTTTCCACAAAACGAGTTCTTCCTTAGTAAGTTTCCGTTGTCTCAATGATAGCGCCATCCAGGCCAAAAAACTTACTTTAATCTTGGCTTGTTCCTTTCCCGCATATCTAATCTATCAGCAAAAGCTATCTTTCAAGTACATCTAGCCACTAACCACTTCTTAAAATAGGAATACCACTGCTGTCACCCTGGTTCTGGCCAGCAGCAGCATCTCTGCTTCTCTTGTTCTTCCACCATGTGGAGTGGAAGGGAGTCAAAGTGATCCAGTTAAAAGGAAAGTTAGACAGCACTCAGCTATAGACCTCCGGTGGCTCTGAGAATCACTGAGAGCAAAAGCCAGACTTTTACAATGGCCTTCAAGGCCCTGTGTATTCTCTTTTTATTATTACCTTCTGACCTCATCTCTCCATATTCTCTGTGTTACTCCTTTCTCTCCAGCCAAACCCACCTCTTTATTGTGTGTGGACTCATCAGACCTTCTAACTTCAGGCCTTTGCACTTGCTGTTTGCGTCTTCTGGAACTTTCTGTCCTCTGATATCTGTATAGCAGGTCTTTGCTCAAATGTCATGAGGCTTTCTTAGACCGCCCTGTTTAAAATGAAAACCTACCCTACAGCCTCCATCCCATGTTCTTTCCTATTTCATTTTTCTCTTTTGCACTTATCACAAACAATGTATTTTATTTACTGTCCATCTTCTTCAACTGGAATATAAGCTCCATGTAGGCAGGGAGTTTTGTTGGTACAGCTCTACCCCGCCCCCATACCTCCCCATTGCCTATAGTAGTATCTGGTCCATGGTAAATATTCAGGAAATATTTGTTAGATGTGTGAGTGAATGAAGACATTGTTACCAAATTATTTTCCGGTGGTTGTGATAAACAACATTGATTCCCTGGACTGTTATTTTGGAACCAACACCATATACTTGTATATGCTTTTGCCAGTGTGCACCTATTGCCAGGTGTAGGAATGGAGTCTATGTCCACAGAAGCAAGCGTTTTTTTTTCAAACTCATCTGGCTTATGCTAGTATATACTTGTGACATTGGTCTCTTTTTTTGGCCATGCTATCCATAAGGTTACCTGCCAGAAGCTCTTTGGAAATATTCGCCCTAAACATTAAGACAGAATTCTATTAGTTTGATTTTGATATTGCATAGAAATTAGTTATGAATGAACTTTTTTAAAAATAAAAGTTTTTATCTTAGTTTTTTTATTACAGTTACTATTAAGCATTCATGAATGAACTTTTTTAAAAATAAAAGTTTTTATCTTAGTTTTTTTATTACAGTTACTATTAAGCATTCATTAGGACTTAGGTTCAAGGCAGCAGTCAATATTTGCTTCTTTTCAAACACAACAAAGCACAGATTTGTTAAAGCTGTTGTGTCTGCTAGAATGTCAGCCATTAAAGGTAGTTTCTTTTCATGTAAGACTGTGCTTCTTAGATTATGAGCTATAGAACTATGACTTATGAGGATCTGCCAAGTGGCCAACAGAGAGAGAGAGTGAGTGAGTGAGTGTGTGTGTGTGTGTGTGTATATATGTATGTGTATATGTATATGTGTGTGTGTGTAGGTATATATGTATGTATGGGGATGGGTGGCATTTCTGCTATCCCTGTTTTGGGCTTACCAGATGGGGAGGACAGGCAAGGGTGTGAGTAACTGCAGTGAAAATAAGAATCTCTCCCGAACTTTAAGCCCCAACTTGGTAGATTCATTTACTGGATTGAAGTTCTTATCTCTACTTTAACAGCCTCCCAGATACTTGGGGACTCTGCCTGGTGGCTTTAAGGCTGCCCTCTTGCTACTCAGCCATCATTGCTCCCTTCCTTCCAAGGACTCTCCTGACCTTGGCACTGTTTGGTTTTTGTTTTTGTTTTCCCATGGTAGGGGGTGGAGGTGGTGGTTGGGAGGAAGGGTTTTCAGCTAACCCTGAGACTTGTTTTTTTTTTTTTTTTTTTTTTTTTTTTTTTTTACTGAGTTTTTTTCTTTTTTTGGGGGTGGGGGGGAAAGGGTGGTCTTTTGTTCGCTTC